CTGAACTGGAAACTGCCTTTAAACTGGGTCTGACGTGGGGCACAAGAAATGCTGGATGGCATGTGGGGGCCTTGTATTCCCCTGGATAGCCTTTTCCAACAGTGGGACCAGGGGAGACATCATCTAGTGGTTAGAACAAGAGCGTGGGAGTTTAGGCGATCTGATTCCTAGCTCTGCCACTGATTCATTGTGTGACCTTGGGCAACTCCACTGTACCTCCGTTTCCCCATAGCTAAAATAAGGATCATAATATTCAGCCCACCTTCAAGATCCTCAAACGAAAGGGAAGTGCAGAACATTATGGCTACTAATTTCTGCCCCCTTTCAGTAATTTGGGGTTCTGAAAGTCATTACTGATTCTGTAGGTTGTTATTCCAGCCCAGACTGAATTCCACTGGGGATTTTTAGTCTTCCTGGGGACAGCAGGAAATGAGCCAGCAGCAGGATTCTGCTGTGTAAACACAGAATGGTAAAGTCCTTCTTTTGATTATTTAACTCAGATTGGAGCTGGAAGGAATCTGGTGTTTACCATGCACTTTTCCATAGCTCCCAACCTGCCTCAGGCCAAATGTACCACACTGACCTTTGCAATGTGTGACGAAGATCTTGGACTGGGGACCTGTTGTCAACAGCAGAGAGGGGCAGACACATGAAATGACATTTCCTTACAGCGTACAGAGCGGCTTAGGGCATCATATTTCAGAGCCAGCATTTTGGTGATTAACATTTGACAGAGGGAATTGCTACTTCAAGGTAGACCAGTGGTCCATCCTGTTCAGTCTCTGAGAATGACCCACACAGCTACTTCAGAGGAAGGTGAAAGAAACTACACAGTGGACAATTATGGAAGAAATTCCCATAGGAGAATTTTCTTTCTCAGCCCCATCAGTTAGAGGTTGTCTTGGGCCTGGTCTACACTTAAAATTTAGGTTGCCATAGCTACATCACTCAGGGGTGTGAAAAATCCACACACACCCCTCGAGCCACCTAGCCCGACTGACCTAACACACAGAGCCAACACTGCTAAGTTGATGGAAGAATGCTTCTGCTGAACTAGCGACCATTGCTGGGGGAGGTGGGATTCCTACAGTAATGGGAAAACCCCTTCCATCACTGTGGGCTGCATCTATACTAGAGGATTATGCTAGCATAGCTATGGTGCCATAGCTATGCTGCTATAGTGCCTGTAGTGCAGACATGGCCTCAGTCTCTGAAGCATGAGAGCTACCATCCCTTGTCAATGTTGTATCTTATCTAATGTGATCGTGGGTGTTCTAATGTGAACCCACTAAGGCCTTGGCCTCAAAAATGCATTGTGGCAGTGAGTTCCACAGGTTAATTATGCATTGTATGTAAAACTATTTCCTTTTATGTTTCAAATGAATCATTTTCTAATCTCACTGGATGAGGGCAGTAAATGGTTTGCGCCCAGAGGAACCTAATCTGTTTTCACCCATGTATTCCTGTGCCACTGTGTAGAGTGAATAGAGATAGCCTTCCCGGTGGGACAAAGCCTGTGTCACTTCCATGTGAATACTGTAGAAAAGGCCTATGGGTTATGCCTTGGATTGACCAAAGACCACATAATGGCTCGGCTATGACCTGATCTGAACATGGCCCCTTTCAAGAGTCACACAAACACAGAGACTATTATCATTGTACACAAATGAGACACGGCCCTCTCCACATGGGAACCTTTCAGCCATTTGGAGCCAGTCAATCCCTTGGTTTTTCCAGTGGGTGTCTTTGAGTGTTAGGGGAAGTCCAAATATTGGCTTTCTCCAGAGTGTGGGGGCAGGGATGGTTTGCAGTAGATGTATCCCTGGGGAGTGAAGCTCAGCTGCCTCCCAAAATATATGTTTGTTCAGGGTCTTGTGCTCCCCTCCATAACCCTGCATGGAGGCACCATACACCTCCATGTCCATCCTGAGCACTGGCTCCGCAGGAGACTCCATTGAGCAGCGGCTGTCAGACTCATGGAGCTGTCTTAACTTGGACTGTTCCCCCTTCTGTACTACGGGACTTCACCTGGTTGTGAACAGCTGTGATAGGGAGAGCTTCTGGCTGCACAGCCGGTATATCAGCCATGCTGTGCAGGACCTCACGGAATCCAGGTGGTACAGCATCTCCCCCAAGATCCATTCGGGTCTGACGGGACCCAGGGGTTAAAGGAGTGAAACACACATACCCCTGGTCTTCTTCCATTATCTGTCCCACAGAAGAGAATGTGCCAGGGACTCCACAGCATTTCCTCTGCCTTATGGGTTAATGGGGCCTTTATTTCCTTTTATTTTCTCCAGTCAACCAACTAATTTGCCTGAAGATACCAGCATATGCACAGACTCTCACAGCCAACTTACTAGCCCTGCTCCTTGGATGCTAGTCCCTTGGGTGCAGCTGAAGGGTGGGGGCTAAAGCATTTGACTGCATCAATCTCCCCTGTATTTACACAGACCTCCATGACAGCCCTCAGCTGTTAAAAGCCAGTTAGGGCCCAGGCCTGCAGCCTGTGCTCATGCAAGTACAGTGGCCCCATTGAAGCTCATGAGAGAAAGGTTTGCAGGATTGGGCCCTAAATTGCTCATTACAGCCACTTCTTAATTCTTCAATCAGCACGTAAGAAGCTCTTCTGTTTATTTCAATCAACACCTTTGAAGACAAAGCATCTGTATTCAGTTTTTCTCCCTGCTTTGATCACATTCTGCCCCTCAGATCTGCTAATTCAGTCAGGAAATCTGACACCCTTCTCAGCAAAATAGTTATAGGGATTTTACAATACATAGATGTTAGGAGTTTGTTTAAAATCTGAGAGTTCAGGTCTGAGAAGCAGCAAATAAGCCTAAAGTGAAATGACAGCATCGAGGCAGTGGTGGCCGGGCAAAAGAGTCAGGGGAGCCCTACGTTCTATTCCCATTTTCTCCCCTGTTTCGCCTGGGAAAGAATCACTGCTTTTCTGTTGCCTGAGTTTCCAGTCTGTACCTCCTTTATGAAGTACTTGGAGGTCTACGGATGAAAAGCTTTGTACACATATAAAGGGTCAGATCATCTACTGGTGTAATCTGTCTTATCTCCATTGACTTCAATGGGCCTATACCGATTTACACCAACTGAGGGCCAAAGTATTTATTACTGAGAGCAGAAATTTTAGGTCAATGCAGAAAAACTACATAAAAGGAATGAACAAATATGTAAATGAAACCACTGGGGACTGGAATTTTTTGTTAATGTTGCTTTGGGAAAGCAAGCCACCCATTCCTAATAATGATACTTTGCCCTTCTGATCTCCAAGCACACAGCAAACACGACCAAATTAAGCTTCCAAACGCCCCTGGGAGCTGGGAATTCCTACACTCCTGATGCAAATGGAGAAATTGAGGCACAGTGGGCTGAAATTACTTGCCCACAGTTGTAGTGTAGGATTAGGAACCAGGTGTCCTGTGTCCAGATTTCTGACTAGGCCACACTGCCCCCCCCCAGTTCATGACTGATGAAAACGGCATTTCCCCTATTTATATTCTGACAGTCTCACAAATAATCTGGCTAACACAATAGAGAAATTCTCCCATTCCATAGTACCTCTATAGACACTGGGATGAGGTGTCCTGTATGTAACCTTCACCGCTGGGCACCTAAGTCTCACCCAGCTCTGCCCTTTCTCCATTCCAGGAGAGACTTATTAAGCTGCTAGGAACCAGCTTTTGGCTGCTGTTTATCCCTTTGAAAGCTCAGTGGCTACTTTGCGAACATGTTGTTAGCATGGGACCGAACTTACTGTTCGATTAGACACATGGGTTAGGATGCCAATAGAACTGCAAGGAAATTAGAGAGAGAGGCTTTAGGTCATCACAATGGGTCTGATTCCCACCCTCCAAAGCAAGTTACTGCTGCTGCACCTGTGTCTTTTCCTTAACCCATGGAGAGATAAGGCACCCCGGGGTTTTCAGAAGGCTGGGTGACTTTGGTGGGCTAAATTCTGCTCTCTGTTACACTGGGTGCAATCCCAGGAGTGCCGCAATACCCTGGGCACAACCAGGGAAAGACTTGGGTTGGCAGCTGTGCTGATTTTAATCCTTGCTCTGGGGGTCATCTAGATTGTTGTTGGGGAAATCCTGTGTTCACCACACCTAGGGTTCAATCAATCCCCCACTGACGTCAGTTGGAGATGGACTGGCCAGGCCTCTAGCGTGCAGCACATGCACATCCCATTTCAAAAGCGGCTGCTGGTTTTTTTGGGGGGGGGGGGATAGGCACAAGGCTGATCCTAGCCCCAAAATAACCGTTGCAGCTTGCAACACATCATCACAATTGTGCTGTGTCGGACGACAATCTGCAGAAACAACATCACAGTGCATTTTGCGATGCAATGGCTCTGTTTTCACCTCTGAAAAGGGATGGTTTTATATGTACCTCCAGGTGTTTTTATTAGTTTATGTCCGTGCTCCCTGAGTCATGCCTGAGGGCACAGTGCAGTAAATAAAGATCAAGATGCACAGGTTCGTCTATCATGGGGCTACCTTGCAGACCTGTGGCTGGAAATCCCCAACGTCCTGCCTTTGGTGGTGGCTTTTAAGATTATTTGCCTGGACTATTTTTAATGGTTGTATATTAATATCAGGCACTGCTTGGCTGGCAACAACTGTTCAGCAGCAGCCAAAGAGGCTTAGCTACAAAAGAGAAAACAGTTAAACACCACCAAAGATTTGATTCACCCAGCAAATGCAGAGAGAACAGGGAGGAGCCCAAGGCCCGATTTCTTCCTCCACTCTATTTTCCCTCGTTCAGTGAGCAGAACTATCCAGTGCGCCTTAGGTGTTTTGTAGTTGGATAATGAAGCAGAGGCGCCACCTGCCCCTTTAAGAGGCTTGGGGGGCGTGTTGCATAGATGCTGCTGTCTCTCACGGCCTCCCTCTGCCTGTTAAAGGGGAATCACTGTCTGTCCCAAGCTCTGCGCAGCGAAGTTAAAGTCAAAGGCATCTTGGAAGAGTTTTGCAACAGGCAGCTCTGGCTAGACCCGTCTTCTGTTAGTGGCCCGCTCCGGGAGCCGGGAAAACATTTCCCCACCGCAACAGTAAAGCTGGGTGCTGGACTCCCTCCAGCCCTGCCACACGATCAGCTGGAGCTGCGGGGCACATGATGTACACGATTACCAGGGGACCTAGCAAACTAGCCACCCAGAGAAGGACAGGTAAGGGGGGAGCCAAATGGGAAGCTGCTTCTCTTTGGTGGGAGCAGGCTCGGCGGCGGGGGGGGGGTGCGCCCCTGTTTTTGTCCAGCGGGGCCAGGAGGATCTGCTTCCCCTCCCCCGGTGCTGCTCCTCTGAGCTCTCCCCCCGCCCCGCTCGGCAGCGTGCCCTCAAGCACCACGTTGCCTGTGGCAGGGAGTCCCCCGTGCCCCGTTGCCTGCCTGTCTGACCTGGGAGGGCAGGGGGCGTGGGGCGGGGAGATGTGCCGCCGGGGGACTGTGGGTCGTGCCCAGGCGCGCCTGGGGGCTCGTGCCCGCCCTGACCCCGCTGTGTCCCCGCAGGTCCCACGCAGCAGGTGGAGAGCAAGGCGGCGGATCTGAAAGGCCGGCAGCCGCCGCACAGCGCCTGGCCTCTGTCAAGGTGAGCTCCGGGCCGGGCTGCATTTGGCACGTGCTGCTCCAGGGTCCCAGCTCGCCGGCAGCCCGGCTCCAGCCTCCCGCGGGGGGTGCCCAGGTGCGGGGCGCGGCAGCCCGGGGGGAGGGGTGACCTTGTGCAGAGGTTACCCGGCTTGTCCTTGCCACATGGCTCCGGAGTAGGAGGAGGGGCTGGCGGGGAAGGAACAAGGGGTGGAGGCGAGCAGCGGACTCGGGAACCGGCCCCGATCGCTGCTTCCCCAGGCCGGCAAAGGCCTGTGGAGGGCCGGGGAGAGGGATCCAGGCTGGGGCAGGGCCCGCTGCACGGAGGGACTGGAGTTGGGGACTGGGGGCGAGTGGTGCAGAGAGCTGGGGGCGGGGCAGGGGGTACGGAGCGTGGAGGGCGAGTGTGGAGAGCTGGGGGGCGGGGCAGGGAGCGTGGGGGGTGGAGGCGTGGAGCTGCGAGCCCCCGGGGGAGGGGGACAGAGCGTGGAGGTGTGGGGCTGGTAGCCCAAGCGGTGCCAGCCAGATCAGAAGCACTGGCAGCCCCTCCTCTTGCTGCTGCCCAGAGTTAGCCTTTGCCCCAGTGTATAGGCACACAGGCTCTCCACGGGGGGAGGGGCAGGAGGAGGGTGTACCGAAGTACAGGCATGGGATGCCCTGAAGCTGAACTCCCAGGGCCTCTGCTAAATTAAATGCCTATCTTCCTCCTGCTGCCCCCCATCCAAGGGAAGGAGCCATGCTAGCCCATAGCCTGGAATTGCCAGCTCCCTGGGGCTCCAAAACCCATGTAGGGATAGTGGGGCCGCAAGATTTGGGACCTAGTAGGCTATGCAGGGCCTGAAACTGTGCATTTCTCTCTCTCTCTCTCTCCCTCTCTCTCTCTGTGTGAGGCATGAAATCCTGGCCCCAGTTAAATCGATGACAAAACCAGTGCTTAAAGTGGTCTGAAAAAAGTGTGTGTGTGGTGTCTATCATAATCTGGGAGCAGCGGTTCTGGCAAGACATCATGTTAAAGTGCACACCTCAGGGACCCCGGGGAATTAAAAAAAAAAAAATCTGTGTCTGTGACCTTGCAAACCCCACTCCCACTTTAAGCTCTGGGCATAACTCCCATTGACTTAATTGGGGCCAGGACGTCACCCAGGGGCTCAGTCCCAGGCAGGGGAGCCTCTTCAGAAACTTTTATGCTTGACCATGGGGGGTGGGAGGGACCGCCAAATACGGAGGTCATTTTGGAAGTTCATGGCCTGGTTCAGATGAGCCATTACAGGATCAGGTGCAACCCATGGGTATTTCCCCCCTGGCCTTGCAGCCTGTCTGTTCCTTCATCGCTACCCCCAGCTCCCTTCTGCTTGAAACAACTCAGCAAGGAGAGCTTTCACTTAAAGGCCATGGGAACTGCAGATCCAAGCAGATGGATCCAAGCCCTTTACAGCCTGGCTCATAGAGGATCCTCTCATGGTGGAGAAGCAGAGACCCTCCCCAGTCTCTGAGGTGCCCCCCCCACTCCCCTCAACCTGCTTTTTCCCAGATAGCGTAGCCTGAAGATAAGGAATTAAACTCTCTTTGTGGGTCTGAAGATAAGAACGGGTCCAACCCTCAAGCACTCAGTGGCCTAGGCAAGGGTAATGAAGGTGCATTGGGACGGCCCACCCAGCCTCCTGCCTGCAGTAGGAAATATTTCCTAGTTTCCCAGCCCAGGTGAGGGGACAGAAAGATCAGAGCAGCATGTGGCACTATGATGACATAGCCAGAAATCCAGGCTGGAGGTGGTGCAGGGGCCAGAGGCAGTTAGCCACTGCAATCCACTGGCTCAAGTCACAGTCACTGCCCATTTCCAAGCCTCTCTGTTGTCCACTCCAGGGAAAAATAGCCAAGGGCAGAGTGGTATTCCACCTTCGCTATATGCATGGCCCTCAATTGTGCCATCCGATCCACCTGGCTGGACCTTGGCCCCCACATGGAGCCCCATGGATGTCAGCAGGGCTCTGTGAGGGCGGCTTTGGCACCCCCCGCTGGATCACCCACATGTACAGTCTGGGGTACATGAATGCAATGAACCCTTCCATCTGGAAAATTACCATCTGTGAATGGTGCATAGAATTGGGATGAAAGTAAACTTATTTTACTCTAATCTTATTGCACCTAGAAGATCTTCCCAGGACCTGTTTGCTATGTGGCCTCCCTCTCACTCATCAGACCTGTCCGCCTGGCCCTTTTCTTCACAATCTCTCTCCAGAATGGACTCCCTCACCAGATCATTCAAAATTCCACACAGCAAAAATGCAATAAGAAAACCTTGGGGTTGCACAGCTAAACACGCAAAAGTCAGGATATTGCAACATTGCTATTGTACACAGAGCCTTAACTCTGCCCTATTGGGAGTAAGCATTACTATACTGGTTTTTAATTACATGATCACATGCTATTTGTCAAATAATGAACAAATGAAATCAGACAGTATTCCCATTTACAAACAGCAGAGCTATATTCACTCTTAACCAACCATAACATGTACTGTAAAAGTTCTTTGGAAATAACCCCTTGTTGGAATGATTAAACACAGATTTCTGGTGATGACATAGCCATCAGATCTGACTTTTATTCTGTAGCTGCCAATGAAACAGAACTAAGAGCGGGGGGAGAAGTTTCACTTAAAGGTCAAGGAAACTGCAGATCTATTCAGATCAGTCTGAGGTGGGGGAAGTGCGTGTACACACTTCCAAACAGTAACATGTAGATTAGTCTATAGATGATATCCTCAGTTCCTCCGCTTATCAATTCTCTGGTGTGGGGAGAATCTTCATTTTCATGATAGGATGTATATAGTGGGGCTCTGATTACTCCCTGGCAAATAGTGTTGTCTACTTTGGGAAGCTCTCAAAACTTTTCATAGCTCAGGCCATACCTTCTTAGAGAGATTGTCTAGTGAGTACTTTCCCTCCCATTCACCCAGTTCCCTCTGCCCTCCCATTCAGGATCGCATAACACCACCATGGTAATTGTCTGCATAAAAAATTAACATGAGGAAAGGTGGTTGTGGTGGTGGTTCTCTTAGTGCAGCGTAGCAGCTGGAGCCAGGGAAAAGATAGCACCATGGGACGAACCAGCTTTCCACAAGCCACCAGTAAGTGCTCTGCAGACCACAGGTTGGGAATGGCTGGTCTGTTTGTTTCTGTTCTTCCACCATATGGGGGAATAGATATAATTGTATCTAGGGGATTATATTCTAGTGGAAACATTATAGTATATTTAATAGAAAAAATCCATCTTTGGAACACTTTAGACATTTCACTGCTAGGATAGCATCAGAAGACTATATAATGTAGTTACTGTAAAAGCATTGCAACCAATGGAATTTCAGTATGCAAAAGAGCCATATGATGACTGGGCTGATGTCAAACCCACTGATTACAACGAAAGGCCTACTGCCATGCTCCTCTTTCCAGGTGGAGAGTGCCCCTGATTTCCCACTGAAATCAACGGGTTGATTTCACCTGAGCACCTTGCAGGATTGGCCCTTTATCCCTATACTGTCTCTAATCCAAACCCCATTGGAATCAGGAGAATGGTCTGTAATAATCCTCTGCACTTCTACAGCACTTTCCATTCAAGGACTTCAGCAGTGCCTGGACCTGGTGAATTCAGCTCCCCAACACCTTCTTAAAATACATATTTTGGCAATGACAAATAAACAGCCTGTATTATCCTTGAATGGCAATAGAGGCAGATGCAAACCTTTGATCAGCTCTGTATGACGCGTGTTATCAAATATTTATTATTGCTACATTGTGGTAGATGAAACTGCTTTGGGTTTTGCTCATCTGGCTTCAGTGGAGGTAGATTATTCTTGGATTTCACCACTTAATATATTATTTCCCTTAGAGCCTATTGAACAAACCACAGCCTTCATTAACCATGAAAGGCTGTTTCTCATTTTGACCAGACTTCAGTTTAACTCATAGCCACAAGATTCTCCCATCAAGATGACCTGTGTTTGTGCCCTTTTGGTTTGCTTCTTTATGGTATACAGTGGTGGTCTGGAAGGGTTTGATATTTGTTGTCAGAAACATCAGGAACGTCAATCTTCCTGTTTATCTTCCTGTTTTTGCTGGAGGACTCCTTGGATGACACAGTGCTATAGTTTGGAACTTTCTCTGCTCTTAACTGAAAGGGCTGGAGGTGCTGAATAGGAGTTAAAACAAGAAACAGAGGTTTATATAGTCTTTCCCTCTCTATTAATCAGTTTTCATTTCTTTGCTATTTTCAGTGTCACAATCCTAGTAGATCTCTAGTCATCCATAGAATCTCCCAGAGCAGACAACACCTTGGTGTCTAATGTGAAAATCATGCCGTTTTTCTCCATCCTTAAGAACCAAACAAGAAAAGACACATAAGCTCCATTTCCCCCCCCCTTTGTCAGTTATCTTTCACACATTAAACAATATGATTGTTAAACATTTACTGTCTTTAAAATTGCAAGTCACTTATTTACCATCCTGGCTGTAACATTCACACTGTGTTGAATGTTATACAGAATGCAATTTTCCTCTGGCATTCTGAGCGCCTTCCTCACTGGCTCATATGGCATCGCTTAGGTTGTGTTATTGCACTGCAGATTCATCAAGGCAGGGGAATGGCTCCCAGGGGCAGACAATGAAGCCAAGAATAGACTAGCAGTATTTTGTGAGACTTGGTCAGACAGGGTTTCAAGCACTTTTCAGGACTGACAGTCTCAAATGGTGACAGGGCAGGTCCTGGCCTTCAGGTCACTAACTGAGGCCTTGAGTACGGTGGAATTTCTAGACTCGGGGAACTATGAGAGCTGGTGAAATTGGAATTTCTGCCCCATTAGAAATTCTGATATTTCAAAATTTGTTTTTGTCCCAAATCAGGAGGAAAAATTGAAATAT